CTATATACATATGCAATACGAATAGAAGATATATCAGCATTCTCCTGTTAAGAATTAGGCATCTTTTATATATTAAAAACTATAAATTATCAACCTGCAAAAATATAGTTTGAGTGATTGTTTGTGATCACTTGAATCATATTTTCTTCTCTAACCTTCTCAATCTGTGCATCTAAGGATTTAAAGAGTTTTAATGCAGCTTTTTGAATATTGCGATGCATCTATTGACTCCATAAATATATTATGAGATGATGATAAAGAAAAATTATAGATTGTTCCCTACTTCAATCCACCTATCAAACATTAGTGCATTTATTCTCTTGCCATTTTTTTTGTTCTTCCACATCCTTCATAGTTGTTTGCAATTCTTTTTTAAGTAGAGAAATTTTCAATTCATGATAGCATGGAAGTCGAAAACCTGATTTATACTGTGTGATTGCCTCTACTATACGATCAAACTCTCCAACTTCATCTTATTGAAAGACATTTCAAATTGATAAACCATTTGGTTATATTTTCCACAATTCTATCTCTTATTCACTTATCTATGTTTTCCTTAATTCCCATTTGTGTCATATTATTCTTTTTTACAACTTTTTTTTTAGGTTCTTTAATATGGAATGATTCAACAAACTTCCCTTGAAGCTTCATTGATATTTTTTTGATCTAGATATTGATTCAAATGCGCTCTGATCATAATGTTAGAGGGGTTGAATGTCTAATTCTTCATAAATATTAATCACCCTCTCATTATGTTTCATATATAAAATTTGTTTTAATTCTTTTTAATTATTAATAAGTAGCTCTTCTCTTATTTCTAAAGGTACATTGTCACACTTAGTAATATTATTTTATTTAGACACAATAGAAGGTTCTATAAGGTGTGCTTCTTAGCTCGAGATATTTCTCCATTTGTCTATTTACCACAATAAATACATATGGGGCAAAGCGCGCTCAGCTTGGTTTTCATCTGTGTATTTCCAATTTGGATATTTTCTTTGGTGTTTGAATAGACTATATTTATATTTAAGTTTTTCTTCATGGAAAAATTATTAATTACATATATGAATAATATGTTGATCAAATTTTCATTAAAATTAATTTTGTAAATAAATCCATTTCTTTAAAAACATATAGGTAAAAATTAATCTTTCTTATCTTAAACAAGAAACCATGTTTAGTTCATTTCAAACTTTAGTTTAAAAAGTCGTCAAAATATAAAACTTAACAAAAAAATTGTGCAAATGAACAAAATCTTTCTAGAAATTTGAATTCTCAACATAAGAAAAGATAATTAAAATATAATGAACTGACAAATCACAATCATACACAAAATCAATCACAAACAAACGGTATCACAAATTTTAAGATCCAAGAAGTAGTCATCAATACTTGCAAAGTGCTCGAAGAATTCACACCCAAAAACGCAATTACAAGGCGAGATTTAAATTTTATAAAGCCAGTCAATGATGTTTGAATGACTACATTTATCATAAAAAATAATCCCGATCTGGCTGAAAAAAATTTAGAAATTCATTCAAACTTGTTTTTAATTGTCAAAATCCCAGTTCTCAACAAAATCAACAATTTCTGATCTCAGCTTGAACGAAAATAGCAAGCTTCAATGGTAAGCTACCTTCCTGCAGATTCAGGATTTTCTAGAGAAAGAAAACCACAAAGCCCAATGAATGTAGTTCTAGAACGTGAAAGCAATCAACGGATTGAAAGGTTGTGCTCCTTTTTACAGTGCAATGCTGTTAATAGGAGTCGACCACAAAACTATTCCAACACAAGCAATGGCCAAATTAGAAACATAACAAAGAATACTCTACTTGCTTTATTGCCATAATCAGCTACTGGATAGACTAATAACGACAAGAACATCTCAGCAAAACATTGAAAACATCTATGGTAATATTAACAGCACATTTTGAGGAAACAGAGGAATACAAAGTGATGAAATATAGGGGATGGAAAGCCATTTGCAATATGGAATCTGATGAAATTTTAACCAAAGCAACTTGCAGCAAGAAAACAAAGTAGCATTAACATACATACCACCCAGTTTTTAAGTATTTACATATCTAACATCTGAACTTTACTTTTTACATTTATATCACTCAAATCCTTCATATCACATGAAAAATACCATTCTTTAACTTTTAAAAGTGAAATACTCCTTTTCATTCATAGGTAAAGTGGCATATATATGTAAACATTGAGGTTTACATTGCTAGATATTAAAGAATATATGAAAATTGAGTGGTATGCATGTAAAGCTTCCTAAAAAAAACCAATCAAATCAATGGACATGCAGATTCTCATGTTCCCTCTTCACTTTGGCTCAAGACAGTTCATACAACTATCTATTTGATTAACCCCTTACCTTCCAAAGTTACTCGACATTTATCTCCCTAGCAACTTCTTTATGGTAGTGCTCCAAATTATGAACGTCTCAAATCGTTTGCCCCGCCAATGCTTTCCTTGGCTACCACACATACATGGGAACAAGTTACAACAAAGATCCTTCTCATGTGTTTTTCTTGGTTACCCATCTACTTTCAAAGGTTATAAATGCTTTGACCCTTCCACAGGCAAAATAATCATCACTCGACATGTAACCTTTAATAAATCTGTTTTTTCTTACACACCCAAGCTACACCCCGTAAGTCACTCTTCTGTATCTCAAGCTACTGCTCCTATCAACCTTATCCCTACATCCACTATTTAGCTCACGTAAAATCCAACCTCCACAACCCCTTCCAAGCCTTCTCTGCTGCCTCTACCTGAAACCTTAACAGCATCCTCTCTATTGCCTATATCTGAAAACCCACCTGCTGCAAATTCCTCTCAAGATATTGTCTCGAACAACCCTCATCTAATTGTCAAACCTCCTCACTCAAAACACCCTTTGGTCACTCGTTCTCAAATTGATTCTCTACCTAAAAATGTGATTCTCGATCTTTTACATGACACATCTCTACAGGAAGAACCACACAATTTTCGACAAGTTATCAAATATAAACATTGGCAACAATCTATGGATGATGAATTTCATGCTCTGCAAAAACAACATACGTGGAATTTGGCTCCCTATCCTATCGATCATCTGGTCCTTGGAAGTAGGTGGACGTATAAAATCAAAAGTAATCCTGATGGATCTATTGCTCGATATAAACTTGCCTTGCGGACTTGGGATATCAACAAGTACGGTCTTAATTATACGGATACATTAAGCCCGGTAGCAAAAATTCCTACAATAAGTCTCCTACTTAGTATCACTCTTTATCATAAATGGAAAGTCTTTCAACTAGATATATTGAATTCCTTTTTACATTGTCGGCTTGAAGAAACGATTTATATGCATTAACCTTCTGGCTATGAAGATCTTACATACCCATCATATGTATGTCTCTTACAAAAATCGATCTATGGACTCAAGCAAGCTCCGCGATAGTGGAACAGTACTTTCACCACATATTTACGTTAAGTTTGGATTCACTACTAGTACCTTCTACATATATCGCCATAATTCTTGTATACTTTATCTTCTTCTTTATGTCGATGATATATTTTTAACCGGTAATGACATTGGTAGGATACAACAACTTTAGGTTACAAAAGCATTTCTCCATGAACTTTATGGATTCGATATCTACTTTTCTCAGGATCAACATCAACCACACCCATTGCGACTTTCTTCTCAATTAAACCAACTATGTCCACGAGATATTGAATCGAGCGAGCATGACTACATGCAAACCGGTTCCTACTCCTCAAACTACTTCTACCAAGAAATTCTTTGCTTCAATCGAGCTCTTCCATAATCTCTCTCTCTATAGGCAACTCGTTGGCTCTTTACAGTACTTCACCTTAACTCGACCATATATTATGGTTGCAGTTAATTCTCTCTTTCAGCAGCTTCAAAACCCGCTTAAGACTCATTATCAACATCTCAAGCGTCTTCTCTGTTACCTACAGGAATCATCCGAATTTGGGTTACCAATCACAGTTTATGTTGATGCTAGTTGGGCCAGTGATGTGCATGATAGACGCTCTATTTCTTGGTATTATACTTTTATTGGTCCTAATCTTCTCTCACAGAATGTGAAAAAGCTACCAATAGTTGCACAGTCCTCAACTGAAGCTGAATATCACATCATCTTTTTGGCAGTGACAGAGGTTATATGGCTACAACAACTGCTACAAGATTTTAAAGTCTCTATTACTACACCTACAACAATTTTCTGTGATAACATGTGCGCTATGACCATCTCTAAAAATCTAGTCTTCCACACAAGAATCAAGCATATTGAAATCGACTATTAATTCACTCATGCTCACATTTATTCTAAGGAGATTACTCTACAATACTTGCAGTTAGAGGAATACACATCCGATATCCTCACTAAAGCTCTACCTACTTCTAGGTTCTGTGATCTCCGGAACAAACTAGCAATATCTCTTCTAGATATTATTTGTTTGCGGGGGCTATTAATGAACTTAAATTAGTGCTTATACAGCTCTCTGGTTATGGGTCCTTATTATTTGTACTTATCCAATATTTCCTTTCTTATGTAACTCCTATATAAATAGCTTACTGTAATAAGTGTTGTATAGACGGAACATTATTTTCTCTCTACCTGTAACTTTTCCTTTACATACCACATATTTCCTATGTATTTACATATTCACCACCTAAATTTTAATATTTTTGTTCATAACGCTTATATCTTTTAACATCACATCAAAAATACCATTTCAATATCTGTTTAAAAGCCAAATGAACCTTTTTATGCATAGGTTGATTGCACCAAATTTCACAAATATAAATATAGTTAGATATGTAATTTCATAAGAATTATGTGGTACCAATGTAAATTTTCCTAATCATTAATGAGTTAATGTTTATGAGCTGATAAGTTGTATTTCCAACTCACTGACAGTCCGAGTTTGTCTTCCAAATTTAACAAATTGCTGATATAAACTATTTTTGTCAGCTTTCGCATGTTCAGCAATGAAGACGTTACACTTGGGGCTTGGATGCTTGCAATGAATGTCAATCATGAGGATAACAGAGCGCTCTGTTCCCCTAACTGTACTCCATCATCCATTGCTGTTTGGGATATTCCCAAGTGCTCAGGTTGGTTCTTAGAAAGCTAATCGTGGTCCTGTGTTTCGAAACATAATTTCTAAAGTCTTTTTAAAAGTTAATTTCTACTGGAAACCCTATGATTTTATTTGAAGCAATTAAAGTATTAGTTTCCTTGGTAGAGTTTTTCCTCATTCCATTTTGTACTTAAGCTCAAACCTAGGAGTCGGAACAAAATAGCTGATTTGTTAAGCCTTCTCCACTGAATGATCACAACTATGCAATAAAAAAAATAATGGGATTTGAATTATTGAATGATGCTCATGCTAAAAATGATTATTTCCAGGAGGTTTGGGTTTGTTATTAAGTTTATTTATACGGGCAGTTCCACTGATCATATGGATATATGTTTTATTAGAATAGGTGTGCATTCCTAAGAATTCACTCAGGGAAACCATCTTATGGTAGTGCTAGGGTGGAGGGAAGACATGATATAATTTGGCAGAGATAAGATTTTTTTTTATTAGTGAAATAGAATTCTATTGAGTTAGACTGGTAGAAGGTGTGAAGAGACATGTTAATCAATGTAAGACATTTTCCACACTTGAGGACAAAACACATCTCTCTAAACTCTATTACTTGTTCTAAAATTGTCTTGGATGGATGTTAGCATAGACCTTGTTGTGAGTTTGCCTTGGACATAGTGAAGGAAAGACTATTATGATTGGGGTAGACAACCTCGAGATGACATACATTGTACTTTTCCACAGTATGATGGATGTTTGGCATATTGCAGACTTATGCTTTATGGGATAGTTTCTCTTCATAGTGTACTAAAAACCATCACTTTAAATAGATGTAAAATGTCCAATTATTTTTTGAGATTTTAAGGTGAAAGACATGTACAAAGTTTATGTTCAATTTAGTTCAAAAGTGCATCCATAAACAAATGCACTGATCTATGGCGGTCTACTGCAATTTGGGAAATCTCCTCACTTGTTTTGTAGAAAAAAACATTTGAAAGTGAGACTTGGTTTTTTCTTAGATTGAATTTGCATATAAGAATTTCACTAGTTAGTCCACCAGTCATAACCCCTTTGAGATTGTGTATCAAATACCCTTTTCTAACCCTAACCCTAAATTGCTCAGAACTGACGATCGACCAACTCCCAAAACCATTTCACTTCTTATGTCATTGTGCGAGCTTTTAATCACCAATCACTATTTGCTGGCGAGTGAGTGCACTCTTTACATTGATCACGAGTCATTGAGGTTCCTAAATAGTCAAAGAAAATTAAGAGCCGGGGGGGGGGGGGGGGGGGAAGCGATATTTTTGTTCATAACGCTTATATCTTTTAACATCACATCAAAAATACCATTTCAATATCTGTTTAAAAGCCAAATGAACCTTTTTATGCATAGGTTGATTGCACCAAATTTCACAAATATAAATATAGTTAGATATGTAATTTCATAAGAATTATGTGGTACCAATGTAAATTTTCCTAATCATTAATGAGTTAATGTTTATGAGCTGATAAGTTGTATTTCCAACTCACTGACAGTCCGAGTTTGTCTTCCAAATTTAACAAATTGCTGATATAAACTATTTTTGTCAGCTTTCGCATGTTCAGCAATGAAGACGTTACACTTGGGGCTTGGATGCTTGCAATGAATGTCAATCATGAGGATAACAGAGCGCTCTGTTCCCCTAACTGTACTCCATCATCCATTGCTGTTTGGGATATTCCCAAGTGCTCAGGTTGGTTCTTAGAAAGCTAATCGTGGTCCTGTGTTTCGAAACATAATTTCTAAAGTCTTTTTAAAAGTTAATTTCTACTGGAAACCCTATGATTTTATTTGAAGCAATTAAAGTATTAGTTTCCTTGGTAGAGTTTTTCCTCATTCCATTTTGTACTTAAGCTCAAACCTAGGAGTCAGAACAAAATAGCTGATTTGTTAAGCCGTCTCCACTAAATGATCACTACTATGCAATAAAAAAAATAATGGGATTTGAATTATTGAATGATGCTCATGCTAAAAATGATTATTTCCAGGAGGTTTGGGTTTGTTATTAAGTTTATTTATACGGGCAGTTCCACTGATCATATGGATATATGTTTTATTAGAGTAGGTGTGCATTCCTAAGAATTCACTCAGGGAAACCATCTTATGGTAGTGCTAGGGTGGAGGGAAGACATGATATAATTTGGCAGAGATAAGATTTTTTTTTATTAGTGAAATATAATTCTATTGAGTTAGACGGGTAGAAGGTGTGAAGAGACATGTTAACCAATGTAAGACATTTTCCAACACTTGAGGACAAAACACATGTCTCTAAACTCTATTACTTGTTCTAAAATTGCCTTGGATGGATGTTAGCATAGACCTTGTTGTGAGTTTGCCTTGGACATAGTGAAGGAAAGACTGTTCTGATTGGGGTAGACAACTTCGAGATGACATACATTGTACTTTTCCACAGTATGATGGATGTTTGGCATATTGCGGACTTATGCTTTATGGGATAGTTTGTCTTCATAGTGTACTAAAAACCATCACTTTAAATAGATGTAAAATGTCCAATTATTTTTTGAGATTTTAAGGTGAAAGACGTGTACAAAGTTTATGTTCAATTTAGTTCAAAAGTGCATCCATAAACAAATGCACTGATCTATGGTGGTCTACTGCAATTTGGGAAGTTTCCTCACTTGTTTTGTAGAAAAAAACATTTGAATGTGAGACTTGGTTTTTTCTCAGATTGAATTTGCATATAACAATTTCACTAGTTAGTCGACCAGTCATAACCCCTTTGAGATTGTGTATGGACAGAACCTTCTCACAGATTTGGATCTAGTACCGATGTTTCCCGCTATTGAGCTTTGTATTGATGCAAATACTATAGTCAGATATATCTAGATTTTAAATGAGCAAATAAGGAATGATATTTCTAGGCTGAATAAGAGGTATTAGAAATAGGTTAACTAGTCCAAAAAGCCTCTAATCTTCAAGGAAGGAGATCTGGTGCGGATTAGACTGTAAAATGAAATATTTCATGCAGGTTCATTTCAAAACTCAAACCTAGAGTTGACAATCCATTCAAAATTGTTAAGAAGATTAATAAGAATGTATACGATTGATTTGTCAAGGAATTTCATCATTTTTGTTACCTTCAATGCCATTGATATGTTGTGGTATTTTGAGGACCTAGTTGTTTTTAGTGAAGAAGGCGAAGACTCTCCTACCTCAAAAGAATGATGCGAATCTCTTCCCTCGCATTTGTCCCAGATGGTCATGTAAGTCACCAAGCCAACCGTTAGGTTTGGTTTCTGCTAGATGGTCAAAGTGCTTACAACAGCCCCGGGTTGGGCTTGTCCCTATAGGCCTACTTTTTCTTAATTAGTACTAGTACGAGAGCCAACACTAGGCGAACTATATATTTCTTTTGTTTTGGACTGATCTAGGATATACTGGTTTTGATTTATGTTAGGCTAAGATATCTTATTAGATATTCCTCTTTTGGAGTGCTTTAATCTTGCTTTTATGGATATTTTTGCTTCTTGTTAGAGTGCAAGTGGCGGATTCTTTCCAATCTTTATTCCTCTCCTACTTTTATTCAGATCGTATATTCTTGGTTGCTCTTTCCTCAGAACAATTATTGCTGCCTATTTTTATTCCCAATCACTTTGTTGAATTACATATTCCTCTCTTCAACCTACACCATTCTCAATACTTATGCTGTTCCTTTTACACCTTCTAGGAATTTTAGAATTGTATCATTTTATATCAGAGCTATACAAATGCTAAATTTTTAAGAATTCTTTTTTTTTTAATTCCAAAACTTTTCACACCTTCTAGAAATTTTGGAACAGTGACATTTTATATCAAAGTTATACAAACTCTAAATTTTTAGGAATTCTCTTTTTAAAAAAAAAAATTGGAAAGCTTAAGTTCACATAACCTAATTCATTCACCCAATCAAATAACCTTTTCTATCCTTAACCCTAACGCTAACCATAAACCGCTCACAACTCACCTTCGACCACTCTCAAAATCGCTCTCCAGCTTTAGGTCAAAACCCTGATTAGGGGAAAGAGATACTATGCTTCCAAAGAGAAATGGAGGATATATATATATAGCAAAATTATCCAACTACAATAAAGACTTGCCAAGTTTGAAAGAAAACAATCTTAAAGGGTCACACACAGCCATAATGGTGGCTAAGTCAGGTTGAAAATAGGAATTTAACCACTTCCACCAAGAATTTTTCAGTGATTAAGAACTAATGACCCAACGATTCACAATCAAATATTAGAGAAAAGACGGTAACTTTAAGGCAAAAATTGACTTGTTGAATTTTGATAGTTAAAGAATTTGGATGAGTTCGTTGATTTGCTTCAAAATATGGAATGAATTTTTTAATACGAAGATGTTCAATATGACATAAGAGTCAAGCTAACAACCATCAAACTCAAGGAGATTTATTATGATAGGAAAATTCGAAATGCCTTCGACAACAAGAATGCCATAGTAAAATAACTATTTGGTATAAAATGAAAAAAGAGATGCAATGTAAATACTTTTCTTATATTATCGTCAAGATATATTCTTTGAACTTCACAATTTGCATCAAGGAGATTTATTTGTGGAGAAGTACACAGTCGAATTTGAACAACTTATACTGAAATGTGAGTTGGTGGACTAGAAGAGCGCACTTGTAAATGAAAATATGTACGGCCTTATCATTGATGGAGGCAACTATGAGATTATGATGTCTACCTAAATGATAAAGAAGTTGAGTGTTACTACAGAAAAGGACACACGATCATATTTTCTATGTTAGAGAAAGAAATGAGATTACAGATGATAGAAGATATCTAGCGGAGTTCTCTATTAGCGATAAGTTCCAAGAGCATGTGATGTGACATAATACCAATAGATGCTTGTCTCAACCTATAGCTCTATTCTTGGCATTACGATCATTACACATGTCATGATGGTTACAAAAGTATATATTTCTTCATCAATGATGTGAGACGCATTGTACTATTACCTTGGAAAGAGTTTGAAATAATGAGCATTTACACTTTCTTAAAACATACATGCTACAGTCATAAAAGCTCGAGAGAAGCACCAATACGACTAGCATTGGTTGTCTTAGAGGTAGTAAGTTCAAGAATCAGATACCTGAGATAATGCAACCATTGCTGAAGGAGTTTTAGGATGCCTTGGTCAACAATCTAGCTTCCAAGTTGGCACTAGTGAGAGAGATCCAACATGCCTTAATTTTCTTTTCAGGGCCCATCATCCAAATCAATCTTCCTATCAAATGTGACCAACTGAGTACGAATTGCAGGAGCGTGTTACATATTTGTTGGCTACAGGCTTGACCTGTTTGAGTACCATGTTATGTGCAATTTCAACTTTGATTATGCAAAAGAAGGATGGTTTTTGGAGTATGTGTATTTATAGTAGATATGTGAAAAAAAATCACTATCAAGTACCAATTCCCCATTTCAAAGCCAGATGATTTGTTGGATCAATTACATGAAGTTCACATCTTCAAGATCGATCGATTTGCATAATGGTTATCACCAGATCAATATGAGCCATCATATGAATTGAAGATCGCTTCAAGTCTTGGGGTGGATTGTATGAGTGGACAGTCAACCCCTTTCCCTTGTCCAATACTCCAAGCACTTTTTTGTGGCTAATGAACCGGTTTTATACCATTGTCGAAAAATTTATAGTTGTAATGATATTTTTGTGTGCTGTTGTATAATGGAGAATCACTTACAATGCTTATGGAAGATTTTTGAGATATTTTGGACAGCCTAGTTATATAGTCATTGAAAGAAGTATCACTTTTTGACCACACAAATTTGCTTCCTTGGATATACTGTATCAGCTTCTGGCATTGAGATTGATTTTTCTAGTTATTTGGATGTTTATGAAAGGATAAGTTAAAGATTAGTGACAAATCGAGATAACAAATTTTATTCCTGTTCGATATTGATTGATGAAGTCAGGATTGGTGCTACATTCATAAAAGCTCGAGAGAAGCACTGATACGACTAGCATTGGTTGTCTTAGAGGTAGTAAGTTCGAGAAACAGCTACCTGAGATAATGCAACCACAGTTGAAGGAGTTTTAGGATGTCTTGGTCAACAATCTTGCTTCCAAGTTGGCACTAGTGAGAGAGATCCAACAAGCCTTAATTTTCTTTCCAGGGCCCATCATCCAAATCAATCTTTCTATCGAATGTGACCAACTGAGTACGATTTGCAGGAGCATGTTACATATTTGTTGGCTACAGGCTTGACCTGTTTGAGTACCATTTTATGTGCAATTTCAACTTTGATTATGCTAAAGAAGGATGATTTTTGGAGTATGTGTATTTATAGTAGAGATGTGAGTAGATATGTGAAAAAAAATCACTATCAAGTACCAATTCCCCATTTCAAAGCCAGATGATTTGTTGGATCAATTACATGAAGTTCACATCTTCAAGATCGATCGATTTGCATAATGGTTATCACCAGATCAATATGAGCCATCATATGAATTGAAGATCGCTTCAAGTCTTGGGGTGGATTGTATGAGTGGACAGTCAACCCCTTTCCCTTGTCCAATACTCCAAGCACTTTTTTGTGGCTAATGAACCGGTTTTATACCATTGTCGAAAAATTTATAGTTGTAATGATATTTTTGTGTGCTGTTGTATAATGGAGAATCACTTACAATGCTTATGGAAGATTTTTGAGATATTTTGGACAGCCTAGTTATATAGTCATTGAAAGAAGTATCACTTTTTGACCACACAAATTTGCTTCCTTGGATATACTGTATCAGCTTCTGGCATTGAGATTGATTTTTCTAGTTATTTGGATGTTTATGAAAGGATAAGTTAAAGATTAGTGACAAATCGAGATAACAAATTTTATTCCTGTTCGATATTGATTGATGAAGTCAGGATTGGTGCTACATTCATAAAAGCTCGAGAGAAGCACTGATACGACTAGCATTGGTTGTCTTAGAGGTAGTAAGTTCGAGAAACAGCTACCTGAGATAATGCAACCACAGTTGAAGGAGTTTTAGGATGTCTTGGTCAACAATCTTGCTTCCAAGTTGGCACTAGTGAGAGAGATCCAACAAGCCTTAATTTTCTTTCCAGGGCCCATCATCCAAATCAATCTTTCTATCGAATGTGACCAACTGAGTACGATTTGCAGGAGCATGTTACATATTTGTTGGCTACAGGCTTGACCTGTTTGAGTACCATTTTATGTGCAATTTCAACTTTGATTATGCTAAAGAAGGATGATTTTTGGAGTATGTGTATTTATAGTAGAGATGTGAAAAAAAAATCACTATCAAGTACCAATTCCCCATTTCAAAGCCAGATAATTTGTTGGATCAATTACATGGAGTTCACATCTTCAAGATCGATCGATTTGCATAATGGTTATCACCAGATCAAGATGAGCCATCATATGAATAGAAGATCGCTTTCAAGTCTTGGGGTGGATTGTACGCGTGGACAGTCAGCCCCTTTCCATTGTCCAATACTCCAAGCACTTTTTTTGTGGCTAATGAACCAGTTTTATACCATCGTCGAAAAATTTATAGTTGTAATGATATTTTGGTGTACTGCCGTATAATGGAGAATCACTTATAATGCTTATGGAAGATTTTTGAGATATTTTGGACAGCCTAGTTATATAGTCATTGAAAGAAGTATCACTTTCTGACTACACAAATTTGCTTCCTTGGATATACTGTATCAGTTTCTGGCATTGAGATGGATTTTCCTAGTTATTTGGATGTTTATGAAAGTATAAGTTAAAGATTAGTGACAAATCGAGATAGCAAATTTTATTTCTGTTCGATATTGATTGATGAAGTTAGGATTGGTGTTAATGAGAAAAATATCTTATTGGATTGTTCCCGGTACCACCACCCCCCTAATAGAGGGTAGATTAGATGAAAGTGTCTCAGTACTTTTATCTAATAATAAGATATCATGGAGAATTAAGATTTAATTGTTAAATAGTAAGAATGTCATTGTCATAGGTGAAGATCTTCATATGGATAAATTTTTACATAAGTGTAGATCTCCCTATGGAAGTCTGGAAAAATTAAAATTGATAAATTAAGGGATGATTGTATTAGATGATTAGTTGAAGAAATATTTATTGAAGAGAAGATACTGAAAATGGATTTGATATTTTCAACATCTACAACTAAGAGTACAAAATGCATCCTTAAACAAGTAGATCAAATAATTAGGAAGGAAAAGAGTGGGACATAATATAACATTCATAGAAGTTTTTCAAAAAGATTATTCATGAATAGACAAAGATATTAGGCAATAGTTAGCAGGAACAATTGGATTATGTGGATGTATAAAGCTGGTTCTAAGTACTTTGTTCGGGTAAGGCTATTGATGATGATGATGAGTAGTCATTCAAAAATCAATATGATTGGAAGAAACTTAATGTCTAATGGTGAGTTCTAATTGGAATAACAAATGAAAGCTAGCTACCTTGAGATTGGATCAAACATCCCCATAGCCAAGCCCTAGCATAGCTCAATATCATGCTAAAATGTTGAATGACATGAGCTCTTACTCAATCTTATCTTGTTTGTGCTAAATTTTGATGTTGATGTTCTGCAAACTTTTATGCAAACAAACAAAAGCAAAATATAGAAGTAAGGTTATTAACAATCCGATTTCAAATCAAGTTGGGATTGGCTCAAAATCGGCATAAAAAAATTCGATCCAAAATTTTGATTTGTAGCTCAGCTCATTTATTTCGATCCGATCTCAATTCGAGCCAAAATTCAAATCAATTTTCGAGCGATTAATGAGCTTTGAGCTAAATTTGCTAAATTCACAGCCTTAACATCACTAGGGTTAGTGATCATATTTCAAGCTTCACTGGGGCCAGCTTGAAAAAAATTCGTTCCAAAATTTTGACATGTAGCTTTGCTCTTTTATTTCAATCTGATCTTGATCCGGGCCCAATATTCAAATCAATTTTGGAGCGATAAATGATTTTCTAACAAAATTCACAGCCCTATATAGAAGAAGTGGGAACCCGTAGAAATTTAGTAAGGTATTTAATGTAAGACTTAGTCTATAAAACAGTAGAGGATGGCCTAATCCATCGGTTCGTGAATTAATGTGCTGGTTTTGCCTGCAAAGACCTTGGTTTTGGGCCTTTCCAAGGTAATTATGAACCTGGATCTTACTGGATAGTATCCCTCCCAGAATTTTTTTATTTTTTGGCATTACTATTAGTTTTAGAGGTATTAGACATTGGAGGTCTTTTTTTTTTCTTTTCAGAACTAAATATTGACATAGATGTTCATGCATATAACCAAGTTATTCCATGTAAAGAATGTTTAATTTACATATTCACCCACCTTCATTCATTCCAAAGCTCTTAAGTTTCTATGCTTGCCTGTATCAAAACACTCAATGGACATAAACTCTGTTCAATATGTGAATTAATCATTACTGAAACTCATCATTCAGGGCTCTGCAATCCTGAACAGATGATGTTGGAACTCCATCGAAAGGAAACTTGTTCAGCTGGTCCAACCTCAGCTTCTGATTGATGATTTGAACCTCCATGATCTCGATCCGGTTTAAGGGGCACTTGGAAGGCAAGCATGATATGTTTATTCTGTGTATTTATTCTTTGTAAAACTCTCTTTTTTTTCTTAATTAACTCGACTCAATATAAATGAAATGCCCCAAATTGGCAGGATAAAGTTGGTTTTACTAGCAAGGTTTTAAAACTCGAACCGTATCGGATCGGTTCAAACGGTTTGTCCATGAACCAAGCTTACGACTAATCCAATTAACATTTAAAGCCATTTTTACAGTAACAAAAACCAGATTGAACGGCCAGTCCCATCGATATAACAGTAAATTTATAAGTTATATTAAATTAAATTTATAAATATAGATTTAAAATCATTTTAATGTGAGCTTGATATTTATACTATACCTTAGCATGGCTATTGCTCATGGGATCACAAAATGAAGAATTTGGTTGTGCTAGTTGTGGTTTTAGATGTTAAATGGGCTATGAGATTATATGTATGAGTATATATATATATATATATATATATATATATATATATAGTAACAATATTTTTATTTTTTTATTAGAAATTATATTTTATTAGAAATTATATCCTTATTATAAATTATAAACTTTATTTTATATATTTGTCAAGATATCATTTATAATAAGAAATACAAAATGTATATGTTAGGTATAGTTAAAAAATGTATGATATATTGATATATAAATTTTTATTTCAATATTATATTCTTAAACTATATATTAATAATTATAAAATATATTTATGCATAGATATTATAACTTTTTAAAATTTTTAAATATATTTAATATAGATTTATAGTATACATAAAATATATTTTAATGAGTTTTGCATCAAATTTTAAATTTCTTAAGATTGATAATATTAAATGCATGTAATATTTTTTTTAATCTTTGTCATATATTTATATTATCATATTATTTAAGTCATATCAAAATAACTTAAATGAACAAATATTAAACCTTATGTGCTAGATATGTAAATACATAAGAATTGTGTGCTACTTACTTAAATATCCATTCTCTTGTCTCTAGCTATAGTTTAGGAACATGACCACAGGATCAAACAATGATGGCTCATGTTTCCTTTTTTCTTTCATGGCTACAATTTTTACTGTTTCACTTGTGAACTGGGACAGCGTTTTGAGGACTTGGGACAATATGTCAACTAGCACTGCCTTGCTGCAGGGCTGGCTGTAAAAGTTCTGAGTTGCCTTGGATTTGAACATGTGCAGACTGACAATGTTTTGGAGAATGAAAGTTTTTTTTTTTTTTTTTTTTTTGTTGCAAAATTGTAGCTGATGAGTTTGAAAAAATATTAAATTTATTTCGAGATTTATGTTATACACACGCAGGGTAATATGGACGACTGATAGCCTGGTTGATTCGTTGTATGAACGACCTGCAGTCTGGAGAACCAACAGTTTGGACTACCAACAGCCTTGATGAGTGGTAGCATGGTCGACCTGCAGCGTATATGACCCACGGTTTGGATGACTCACAACTTGGACGACTTAATACAATTGATGGTCAGGGGCCGCATATGTAAAATATCAAAAATAACATGTACAATCCTCATTAAAGCAAGGTTAGAAATATAATATCTTCATGTTGTATTCTATTTCCAATAAATAGGGGACCATTTCATGTAAGGAAGACTTTTGGTCTTCTCTCTTCGTCCTCATGTATTCATAAAGATTTAATTAAATTCATTGTCATAAGACACTTTTTTTTTTCTTTTTTTTCTAGATTCTAATCTCAACAATTGTGATTTGAAAACAATTGTGCAGTGGACAAATAATCATTTTGCTCTTGTATAGTATCATAGTTTGAAACATAACTGTCATAGTCATATATTTGATACTTTATAAGCAAAAATTCATTTCATGACAGTACAAAAATCCAGATAAACACCTCACTTAATAGTGAATATCAAGATTATTAAAAAAAACAATTAAAATTACATTTACTAATATTTACATATATACCAGCGAAAGCCTTTCATTTCACATAAAAACATCATTTCAACATAAAAAAACTCGGCGAATGCATGTTAGGGCGCACGAAGATCACAATGCTCCAAATCACTAACAAGGAGGGCAGCGGTAAACAAATAAGTAAGAAATGTGGGCTGCGGGGACGAACCCGTGGCCTGCATTTTAGGCGAAATGCGGCTCGCTGCGCCCTGAACGCCTCCCCAAACAGCGCCCCGTTGCCGCCCGAATGCCGCCCCAAACGGGACCTAAAGCGATTACAAGCATTTAATTGCATGATTTTGATGTATTTCAGCTATAATGTTGCCCAAATATCAGACCGTTCAGTTACATTAATTAATTTCTATTAAGCTTTTGTGCTTTGAATTCCATATTTATGCTAATTTTTCCGTTCGATAAAATAAAAATTTCAGAATCATATTATAATATTTTATATGAACATTTATTTTTTGCTATATATAGCTAAAAAAAGATTAAGCTCTAATCATTTATTATGTGGAAATTACATTAAGTAATCTTTTTTTTAATTTAATTGAGTTTGATTAATTAAAAAAAAAATATTATTATCATATATTTCATTTCTTAGATTAAAATACATGTTTGCTAGAGGTATAACTTTAAGAAAAAGGCTGAATTTTTTATGAAATGAATTATATCTGTTTTTAACTCTTAGTTTATTTATAATAATAATTATTATCATTATTATTATAATAAAATATTAATAGTTTATTTGAGTGAAATATTAAGTTTGTAAAAATTAATTTAGTTAAAAAAGATTTTTAGAAATCACTCTCAAAATTTAAAAATCAAATTTATTTTATTTACAGGAACCCTAAACCTAAATTGTAATATGAACGATTCGAACCAGCAATGACGTTGTGAGTTATGGATAAATGTAAAGCTTTTCTTGTACTAAATTTTGTTGAATTCAAAAATGTCCGAGAAATAGGGCAAGAGAGAGAGAGAGAGTACAGTGAGTGTTTAGCCTTTATTTATTAGATTGACCTCCTATTCATAGGAATATGTCTCAGTATTATAAAAATACATATTAACCCCCTCCTCATTGATCTTTCCGAGAGACTTTTTTGACAATTTACAGATATATTCACATAAGATAAAGCTAGAAGACTGATTTAATCTACAAGAAGTTCATTGACTGTTTTACTAAGCCTTGACTCTGTCGACATCTAATTCGAAATGATGCTTCTTGATAATCTCCACCTTATGAGAGATCCCTTGCCATTAGGCCAATCGCCGCATTGTGAGAGATCCCACAAGACGCTCTATTCACCAGCGTCCAACTCTGATGGCCGTCTACAAGTTACGTCTGATCAACCATATTTTTTTTACCCGAATCGTTCATCTGTATATAGATTCGTGTCGACACATTCCTTGTATATAAATTTCAATTTTGACAAAACAAATTGCAATATAAATGAATATCTGACTTCTTCGTCTTTCAACGAAATTCTTTTGGAAGACATGTTTCGTGATTGAAAATGACGTTCTTACGAAAAACTTCAGGAGATGCTCGAGAGATGCTGCTTCACCAAATAAAAATTTTTATAAGTCCACAATGAAAATTTAATCATTGATTTTAAAATTTTTATGGACGACAGAAATTATCTGGATATAAATGCCATGAAAGCACCATTGCGGGCAGGCTGGCCTCTCCTCCTCTTCCTCTCTTCCGTCCGTCGATCATTTTGCTATTTTTTTTCCTCGCGAACCTTTTTCTTTGGTGCAGCCTCCTCCATTTTCTTCTTCGTGTGTGTGATCGATGCGCTCTCATCCATGGCTTTGATCGAGTTCGTCAACAGTGTGCTTTGTTTCTATTTGGCGTTCTGGAGCTCTGGTTTCGTTTTGTAGTCGAAGTTCTTAAAGTGGTAATTCCTTTTCGCCCACTCTGAACATTTGTTTTATGTGCTTTCTAGGTTTTAGGTTTTATGCGGTCTTCAACGTTGTGTTGAGTACTTGTTTCTTGTTTAATGTAGTTTTTACCCGAAAAACGAATTCAGTGTTTGGATAATACTTGCTTGTAGTTGTTCTTCATGGCTAGAATTTGTGTTTTTCTTTATGTTATTTGGTTACAACTCTTTTACTTCTCTATTTTTCTTGGAGGATGATAAATTTGATGAAGGACGGGGAGGCCTGTTGAAAAGAGGCTTTTTGCCCCAAGAGAAGATGCTAATTTGAACCTAAGAGGATGGATGAACTCCGTTCTGATGACGTCATTAACGAGTTGGAGGTTTTGCGGGTGGGATTTTTCGAAAATTGTAACTATTCTACTTTCATGGAGATTTTTCAGAAAACCTTGGCAATGATGTTGTTCTATTTTGCGCTTGAAGCTGTTATTGCCAAAATTTGTCTAGCTTAGCAGGAATTAGTTTATTTTGTACTTTCGATTCTTAATATTTGCTATTCTCTCCATGAATATAGCTTCCGGTTTAGTCCATCCAGTTCACCGGAAGATTATGCATCATTATCAGGTTTTGAATATAGCAACAGGAATATCTCTGAGCCATCAAATGGCTCGACATTTCTATTGATAACCTTTGTTTTACTAATCAATTTATCACTTTCGGTGCAGGGTGTTCTATTACTAAACAACATGAATCTATGTCAATTGTGGAGCCAAATTTTTTTATTATTGAAAATAATGTAACAATTTAACAACATGAAAGTCTAGAATGATGGCTATCACAAAGTTTTAAGTAGAGGTTACCATAAAATTTTGTAATAGAGGCTATGTAAGTTTCTAATGGTTGTTGATCATTAATTTGGAAGGTAAATCCCTCACTATATAAACTCATATATTCTTCACTTATTATAACAATGAAAATAATAAACAAATAAAGGGAAATAGAGAAAAGAAGAAGGAAGGAAAGAAAAGAAGATCTTGTAGCAGGGAAGGCAGAATATCATTAATGCTTATCTCTATGTTCAGCCCTCATGTTCACAAGAGATTGCTGGTGGGAAAAATTCTGGCATCTTTTTATGGGAGGGAAGGGAGGGAAGCTCATAATAGGTGGTTTGGTGGCAGTACAGTTTATGATTGTTAGTAATGTAGGTTGTTCATGATTTACCGACAAAGTTGTTTTGTTTAGTCTATCTGTGTGGTAGTGTAAATAGAGGGAAGGTGGGATTAGGTGAAGCACGTGGAGCTAGAGGAGCTGTTGAATTTTGAAGAAGGTGAAGTGGAAAATGAGGAATGGCGTTTGTGAACTAGGTAGCACAAGCACTAAGTTATTACTGTTGAATTAAGTTTTACGAAGGTGAACAGAAGTCAGGGAATTTGGATACATTTTCATTTTGAACAAATTTGAAATTTTTTAATTAGTGATTATGAATAAAATAAATTGTTACATTTATTTCAGGAGGAAAGTTGCTTCTTCTATTATTCACAAATAGGGTACTTCTATTATTCACATATTGCTTCTTCTATTTTATGTCTTTCCTATTGAATAAAAAATAGGAAAGACATAAAATAAAAGGGGAATAAGCCATCAAAGGTTTCCTAAGATATCCCATTCAATCAGTCCAAGATTTGGAGGTGGCGGCTGACCTAGATGAGATGGGTAAATATGAAAAGGACCAATTCTTCTCAGATTACCACAAAAATCATTGCCTTTGGCAGGGAAAAATGTTTTTTTTTTTATTACAACCATAAAAAAATTGTGATTATTGTTGAGATGCCTTCCATTTTCTCTGTTTTTTTTTTTGCTCATCGTATGCTAAACCTTACGTTTTTATTTTGCATATTATGAACTTACCATGCTATTCTGTAAGCAACAAAGAGCAATTGTGTCAAATGTAGGGGCGAAAACATTCATCAGCATATGCTATAACTATGAACATTATGAAACAAGACAATGATGCTTCATTGAGAGAATTCATGAAGATGTCACTTGAAGGAATTTCCTGGGCTGAAAATATATGCCAAAGAGTTGAAGATATCTGCACAGAGAATAATATGGTTCAGGTTTGAACCATCTATCATTTGATGCTTTCTTTGTCGTCCTTCCTTTTCCTTGAGTACTACAATACATGTTATTATGAAATATATTATGGTTTAATCCTGAATGCTGTTAAATAAATATTTATCTCCTTGAAATAGTAAACTTTTAACAGATAACTTATTGAATTTAACAGAACCCTGAAAAATATGTCAATGCGGTAGGTGAACACTTCAAAAAGGTTATTCATACTGTTGTAGATAACTTGTGCGACCATGCTGATGATGTTATAGAACTGTTTTCTGAATTAACTTCGGGGCATGCTTCCTTGGTTAAGAAATCTGGAAAAATGGGTGAAGCAGGTGATTTTTTAAATGAAAAGCCCTTTGCTTATATTTGCGAAAAAGAAGCTGCATTCATGGAAACTTCATCTTTGGAACATGATTCGGTGCCTAAAGTAGTGGGAAATTTAGGGCCAGGATCTAAAAAGAGTATCTCTGACGGGAGTGTTTTTACTAGTGGTAAGCTGGATAAAGATTTTTCTTCCACAGTGGATTCACTTTTAGAGCATGGAGATGGTACAGTGATACATGAAACATCAAGGATAGAGATTGATGAGAGCGATTCCCTTGAAACATGCGCTGCTGTTGGGTTTGAACAAGAAGCAACGTCTGTTGAAGATCTTAGTCAAGTTAAATTACCAAGTGAGCCACAGTTTCTGAATAAAAAGGAGGATTCTGATGTCATGCTTTCAGAAACTGATATATTTGCAGCTGAAGGATTGAATTGCTCAACAGGGAATTTCTGCAATTTGATTCCATGCGATGTTAATTTGACATCATCTCCATCTCTTACAGAAGCCAATTCATCCATTTCCTGTAAAATAAATGCTACTAGCGAGCCATCTCCATCCTATTCTCTTTGTAGTTTGGATTTAGAACCTCAGGAAGCATCATGCCTATCGGAATGTAATGGAAGCAAACTTACATCGGGGAATGGACATAGAGGGAGAGAAATCTCTTCGACACACGGTATAATGGGTTACTTTTTGTCTTGATCTGTACTTTTATGATATCTCTTTACCTATATTTCTTGTTGTTTTCTAATATATCATTTGTCTGGCTATTATGGGATTCATATTTTGTAGTTGTTTATTTGTTATCTGCTATTTCAATCTGCTTATGATTATATTTTTGCCTGTTTTGAAAAGCTAGGAGGGATGTTTTCAAAGGTGAAATTCTAACCGACTTATTAGAAACCATGTATCTAGTAATAGGGATGCCATCTCATGCCATAATCACCTATCCTTGAATTTCCCTTTCTCTAATAGGCTGATTCAATTTATAGGTGATTGTTTTGTCACCAATCACTTCATTTTTATACTTTCTGCAGGATTTTTTTTTTTGTTCAAGTTTGTGATTCTAATCTTTTTATTTCCTAAGAATTCTTTTTTAATCATATTATAATGAAAGATGTTGATTTTCTTACTTGTGGTTGAAAATTATGATTGGCACAATGTAAAAGCATGCGCACTACTTTCTATTGTTCCAGTACATGAGACCAGACTTTAAATTAAATTGTTCAATCCCTTACCTCATAGAAAGTACTCGGTTTGCTAGACTAGCTACTTAGTAACTTATCATCACGTGGTTATAAAAATGAGGCTTATGTGTAATCGGTCTTATTAAATTTTCAGTTAAGCTGTTTTGATGATATAGATTCATAAATATTTATGCTATTCTCTTGTAATGCATGGCTAATAATGTCCACATTTGTAGCTATAATGCTTGATTTCGTGCATGTTCTTGAGTCGACACACTTGCATGATAAGTTTTCCCACTTCATATGGAGTGTGAGTTGGAATGCAAGGATTTAGTAGATTTCATATATCATGATATAATAACAGCAACAACAACAATAACAAACCTTTATCCCACTAAGTGGGGTCCGATATATGAATCATTTTTTCCGTTGCATCCTATTGAGTGTCATATCATCATTTAATTCTAATAGATTAAGATCATTTTTTATGCAATGTGCCCAAGTCTTTTTCGATCTACCTTTGTCTTTCTTAACATAAGTCGAATCTTAGACATCTACTCTCCTAACAGGATCATCAGATAATCGATGTTATAATGTGACCAAACCATCTAAAACAACTCTCTCTAATCTTATCGGCCACTGGAGCTACACCAATCCTATCACATATATATTCATTTCACATTTTGTCTCTTAAGTGTCAAGCCACTCATCCACCTAAGCATTCTCATCTCAGCAACACGTAACTTTCAGATATCAAGTTGTACATAAAATATGTGCTAGCACTGACCCAAAGAAGTTCTAACAGTTTAGAAGAAAAAAGTATGACGAAGGAGGATTAACTGACAGAAGATCGACTGAGTGAAGTTGTTAAAGCCGAAACCAACAAGTTCAAAGCCTACTAAGCCACGAAGATGGTTAAAAGACAACCCAATGATCTAAGTCCAAACCATTCGGTTAAAAACGAGACAATGAAGCATCCAAGCCAACCACTATGGAAAAGCTGATATGAGGGAAGATCCAAACCCTCAACATCTCTAGTCATTTCGGGGACGTCCAGAGGTCCCCTACAAGGCAATAAGGATCAACAACCTAACTACATTAGCCAATCGACTCATGCCGACTAGGCTCAGCCAACCGAGCTGACCCTACCGATCGAGCTGATCCAGTCAATCCGAAGCCAACAAAGATTAGCTAGCCGAGCCAGAGAATAGCCAAACTACTAGCTTACCCATGTAAAATAATAGAATTTATCTAGTACGGAAGCAGGGGCAAAAGTGTAACATCATCATGTTCTATCCTCTCTTCTATAAATAGAGAGTCCATTTCATGAATAAGAGACAACTAATTACTATTCATTACTATTCACTTTTCTCTTTCTCTCCCTCCCTCCTTATGCTCTATTCTTTAGGTGTGATTCACAGACAAATCATGATTCAACACATGGTCATAGCAGTTATAGGAGAAGTCTTAAAGGCCCATAATTTAAAAGTAGGAGGAACCCTATGTAAGTTTTATGTCATCAAGGGAATGAACAATCTTGCCTCGGAGTTGGTAATCTCAAGGCAAATAGGAATTGAGAAAGACTTGTTTCTCTATATTAAATTAGGTTTGGATATTGACAATGATTGAAACATAATCTACACAATTCAATATACTCATCATCAAGCACTCACTCAAATACAACGATCTTATTCACCAATGACGAAACTTGTCTGCCTTACAAAATATTTATTTTTGGGAATGTTGGGTGTAATAAAATAGATCAAATGGCATGGTGTGAGAATTCAAAATTTATTGTTGAATGTTTTAGTTCGACTCAACATAAATGTAAGTTCATGATTAAAATATCAGGTAAAATATAAAAGGAGTGTCTTGCAAATCTATATACTAAACCTAATTTGATTAATTTTGGATATTGAGAATTATGAATTCTATTAATTTTTATAAGGATCATAAATCCTTATTAATGAATATTGAAGAATTGATTTTAGATTGAATGGGAGGTGAGCGACCCTCAATCCCGTTGCTAATCTTCTGAGGTTAATAAAATAACTCCTTAATATATATCTAATGACTGTTGGACGTGTGTCTAAGAGGTCTAATTGTTAGTTTTTGTGTTGGGCCCCTAATCAGAAAATATTTTTATTTGCTTTAGCTTATTCATAGAAATAACTAGAATTGGTACTTACTATTGTTATGCTTCTTTTAAAATTCATTATATTACCCATATTTTTTTCATCTAATTTAACTACATGCTCTCATCCAAGTAAATGATTCTTAAATTTTTGTATCTTTAATGCAAGTGTAATAATAAAGGTAATGCAGATATTTTCCTAAGACTTAATGTTTTTGATGATAATATTTCTCACATCTTTTGTTATTAGTGTTGTGATTATTCAACTTAGGCCATGATAATATGTTTTATCATACTAATCAATTCATGTATTTGAGCTATTACCATGAGAAAGTCATTGGAAAACTCCGTATCTACTGATGCTACCTTTTTATGAAACAACCCTTTAAAATCCTAAAACCACACCTTGTTATACCTCTACTATTTGTAGCCCTAACAATCGCCTCTTCACCTTTACAAGTTTATATTCTCCACTTTTTACCACCTTGTTTCATCATGTCGACTATTGCTTAGCATCTGATTTCCATTGAGCCAACAATTCTTTATCTTCCAATTGCTTTCTACCATATTAAATTCCAATGTAGTAACCATTCATTACATTTGTCTTGTATTATATCTTTTCTTTAGTTAAATTTTCCCGTCTTTTGTTTATTATCTCTTTTCCCAAAATGCACAAAAGATTCTACCATGGTGTTTAAAATTGGATTGGGCCAGTTGGTCTGATTGATTCAACCGTGAGCTGATCTTCTAGTTCATTCTGCCAGGGGTTGAAAACCTCTTTCTTGCACAAGATCACGCCATTGAATTGGTGAACTCAATTTGTTTTAGTTGAATTGGTTGGCTTTAATACATTTCAATTTTTGTTTTTTTAATTTTGATTGGATGGCTATAAATAAAAGATTTACATTAAAACAGATAAAATAATTGAAATATTGTGCCACAAAATTTTGTTTTAAAATTATATTCAAAATATTCAAAAGGTAAGTGTCTTTAATTATTATATACTCAATTAATGAAAATATTATTATTGCATTTTTTAAATTATATTGAAATAATTTTAGTATTTCTTGCACAATCTTGTTTAACCTTGAACTTTTGAACATTGAACCTCTCTTTTTAGTTCAATTGTAGTTTCAGTTTTCACAATCTCGTTGTATTTGATCTTAATTTGAAGCATGCATGGTCAATGAAATATGTGCTTTTCTTCATCATTTGGCTTTAGGGCTTAGTCACACCCTCTATTATGGTTAACTCTACTTCTATCAATCAAAAATTGTTGTAAAATCGTATCCTAGTGGCTTTATTGACTAGTATAAAGCTTGCATATTGGCTAAAGGATATATACTCAGATTTATGTTATTGAGTATTTTAAGCTTTTTCACCATTTTCCCATTTATATTATGTTCGACTATTTCTATATGTAGTTAATCAAAGATGGCCTATACTATATGTGCTTGTACGGTAATCTTTATTTGGTTCTTGCTAAGGGTCTCTTTAAGGCAGTTGCAATTTATCCAGTTTTTCCAGATAAGCAACTTATTCTGATACTGATAATCTGCTCTGATAATCTGCTGATCAACAGCTTATCCTGATAAGCTGGCTAGCTGTTTGATTTGTGCGTTTCGAAAACAGCTGATTCTGGATAAAAGATCATTCTGCCCCTAATCTAGATAAACTGTTTAGAACCAAAAATATCATTTCTGTAAGATTCACACACAACACAATCAACAACATTATCATTTTAAAAAACTTGATTTTGCCATATGATTCACAACATGTATACGAACAAATATCGGTTGTATCCCAACATGAAAGGTAGCCCGGAGCAAAAAATCAATCGAAGGGTAACAACTACATAGATATTGCGCCCATGAAAAAAAAATAATAAGTGAAGAAATTAAATGCAGTAGCACAAAATGTCAAAATTTGCTGTGACAAGAGACTCAAATCAAGAAAAATTGTCCGTTCGATGGCAGATCAAAGAAAATCCGCCAAGTAAAGACGCAAAATAGATTCTAACCTGAATGAAGTTCACAATCACGGCCGCCGGAACCGCCATGGCTGCAAAAGAAGACGATGGTGGGGGTTTTGTATGGATTTGGGCGGGGGAGTCTCAGGATGCTCGTTGGGGTTCTCCGAAATGAAGAGAGGAGCAGGATCAGAGAGGGAGATAGAGGAGTGCTGCAATGTGCTGGATCGAAGAGTGAGATAGAGCTGCGTGAGTTCGACTGGAGAGAGGAGCAGGGTTTTGCTCCGCCGAATGCGGGAGAAGACGGCACCGAGGGCGTGTATTGTCTTTCACTCGAACGAAATGTGGATCACAGGTTCTTGCCCGCGATCCGCGTCTAATAGTAAAAATTGAACGACGTTTCCAAAAACGCCTATAAAACGTGATATTCAAACACCCAGTGGCGTTTTCAAAACGCCATCGCTGCGAATAAGCTCTCCCAAACGTACCCTAAAACAATTTATATGCAACAACCTCTCGAGTATGCTGCTTATGGCGGAGAATAAACTTTGCAAGCTTTTAAAAACTATATATGGATTGAAACAAATTCTTCATGCCGGTTCAATAAAATTTGTAAATTTTTTGTAGTACAATTGATCACTTTATCTTTATTTGTCATTCTTCCTATGCCACTGTGATTTTGGCTTTTTATTGACGACAACCTTGTCATTATAAGTGATATATCAAGCATCATTGAAATAAAATTGATCTTTAGAAGATATTTTCCTCAAAATATCTGTGTAATCAAAATGCTTCCTAGTATTGATTCTGCATATAGCTCAAAAGGTAATAATCTCTTTTTGGAAGGGATTACGTTATAGACATTCTTAAAGAAATGAGTATTTTTGTTTGAATCTACTATACTAGTATGAAAACTCTACTTTCATCTGAGGATGATGAAAGCTACGGGGATCATACTCGATAATGAGTTCTTTTTGGAAAACTTATCTAATTGTGACTTTGTCGAATATACTTTTGTTGGTAGTGTGTCAATTATTATGTAATCCAAAAATTATATAGTGGAAGTTATCTTGCGAATTTTGAAATATATCAAGAAATCCCTAAGAAAATGTTATGTCTATCAGAACATTTTAGAGGAACAAAGCCTTGTTTTAATGCTAACAATGCTTGCTCTTTTGAAGATTGAAAATCATTTTTGAGATGTGTTTTTGTTGGTTAAAATTTCTTATACTAGAAAAAAGTAGGATACAAATGGTTATAGCTAAGATTAAAAGCTAAAGTTGAATATCATGCCATATCTCATCCCATTGGTGAAATGATGTGGAACAAAATTCTTGTAGGAGAATTTGGTTTTCCTGTCATTCAACCTATGTTCTTTAACTATGATAACCAGCGACCTTCTACATTGCAAGCAATCCTAGATGAAATAACTTAATATATTGAAGTTGAAAAACTCTTCATTAAAGATGCTATCATGATCGATAAAATCATCACTAATGTATCACTATCAAGTGAAGAATAATTGGCTGATATCTTTACAATGCTTAGAAACTTTTTCTTTTTTTTTTCAATCTTTGCTAGAATTTTTTATATATACACTTCAATTTGAGAGGGAATATTATTATAGTAAAATAAAAATAAATGTGCTTGGAAAGCACTATATTATGAGATACAATTTTTTTATAATCTTGTCACTTCTCTAAGCACAATATTAGGGGAGAACAATTTTCTATCTTTCTAATTGAGGATATTCCTCGTTATTTTCTTCTTTTTGTACTTCTCTCATATGTATATATATAGGCAACAACTTCCTGTGAATAGTACAAACGAATTTTTTCTTCGTTTTGAATATCAATGATATCATAATTGTATTTTTGTTTAGTAATCCATATATCATACTTGCTGCAATACCACAATTATATCTTGTGCAATGAACGTTCTGTTATCTTTATATTTCTTTTGCGTAAGCTGACTGATGTGCTTTCAACTGCCAATTTTTCTAGAAAATTTAAACATATGTAGCAGGGAAGAGTTTTGCAATTCGTCTATTTTTAGTCTGAAGGATGAAGACTTGAACGAATTTGAGGATGTAAAACTCGAAGATGATTTTGAAGCTGTAAAAGCTGAGAATGACTGGGATGACATGTTAAAGGCTGAAATTGCCTTGATTTCATCTCTGGCAGCAAAAAAAGAGTCATCCAAGGTAGAATATTTATGATATTTATATTTTCATAAAATATTATACTTTTATTTATACACGATAGCCATTTTTATATAATGCTAGATGCATTATCAGTCGGATTGATTTAGATGTGATGGAGAACATGCATTAGACTTTTTAGCATCATCAACATAAATATAGGCGTTGCTTCTTGAAGGGGAGTGCATGTTATCTAATATGATTCCATACACTGTTTTATATAATCTTTTTTTAATATATTTTTTCCTTTTGTAAATTGTTCTTTTTATTCTTGAGCATTACATTGAGTAATCCATTGGCATTACAAATTTTCTTATCAGCTCTATTAATTATGTAATTTAACTCAATACTCTCATCAGTTCGAATATCAAGCACTTTATTGGAATACCTGTCTTGGATGTTCTTTAATTAATTTAGTAAGCTAAATTTTGAATCGCTCTAATTGAGTGCGTTTAGTTTCATTCCACCCAGATATGAATATCAGAAATAATATTTTAGATAAGATTCAAAATCAAAAGCTCTGATTTTATCAGGAGACACCGAGAAGTATGCTTTTTTGCCGCAAGTTTTATTTTAGCAAAATTTTCAGCATGGAAATGTACGAGATAGGATTATCACAGCGTTACATAGCCTTGATTGGTAAGTAGTTGAGTGTATTTAAGATACATGTAAATGAAGAGCTGCATGAGCGGTTCCTGGATTTGAAATTAAAGGAGAGGCATGTCCTTGGTATTAATATGATATTGTTTAATGAAAACCGCCCTTTTTTTAACATCTAAAAACAGTAGTGTATATTAGCATATTCAAATTGCTTATTTCGTTGGTCAGCTTATAATTTACTAACTTGTATTGATGTCCGTGTCACACCAATTTTTTGATGGAGTGGTCAAGTTGAGTGGGTTTTGAGTATACTATTGTTGAACTCTTTATATATAAGAAAGCAATGCTTTTTAGTTTCTCTTTTTTTTTATTAAAAATTAATTTCTTAGTTTTGCCTCACTTGGGGAATGAAATCCAAATTTTTTGTTCTTCTATATCAGAAAAAACTGAAGAAAATGCTTACTTCCAGATGGAGACCATCTAGGGGTAGTAAGCTGGTGACTTTCCAGACTGATCTGCATTCAAAGACATCCTTAGACTCTGATTGGGAACTATTGTAAAACAACTGATATAATGTTTACTAATAATTTGCACTGAAGCCTGGTAAGCTTTTCAAGTCTGTATTTGAATGTATGGAGTAGCAGGATGAACTTAATATATAAGCTTGCGCCTATTCATGGCCAAGGCTCAGAAGTTGTTCACTTCACTCTGGTAATCCGGTAACCTCTATGCCCTCCTATCCTGGTTTATCTTCTTTTACATGTAAAGAGGCATGAATTTAATGTTATAAAAAAAGAAGAATGTAATTTATTCTTGCTGATGTAAAACTTAAATCAGCATAAAATCAGCATATTTTAATGATTTGCATTGAACCATGAACCGGAGTTAACATTTTAGATCTTCAAAAAGCTACTGCTTTTGTTCATATTTCATAGAATTTGTTGTGACATTGTTCTCTGAAGTTCGTGATATTAATAGAAATGCTAATAATTTACCAAGCGTAGATTAGTATCTCTTGCAGACTTTAGAATGGAGAATCTGAATACATAAATTTGTGCAGTTAAAATGAGATGATAAGGCCAAATGCTTAACGGTAAAGATGCAATCACATTAAAATTAGAGGGGTAGAAAATATTTGCTGGAAATTTTCTGCCATTAGAATAATTCAACACAAAAATTTACATGCGAAAAATTCAGAATTTTTGAAAGCCATGTTAAATGAGTACTCTGCAAACCATTGCTAAATCTACCCTGTAGAATATGGGCATTTGGAATGAGTCCAATCTGGGCCTAATCATGAAATAACTCAGAAGTACTTGCTGCGGAGGAATGAGTCCATGTTAAATGAGTACTTGCTGCGGAGGTTATTCCTGAGTTATTTTCAGGTTATTTCTGAGTTATTTTCAATAATCATGAAATAACTCAGAAATAACCCACGGTCTTTATTTTTGGGTTATTTCTTGGTTTTTGGGGTTATTGAAAATAACCCAGAAATAATCTAAAAATAACTCAGGAATAACCTCTGCGGTACGTAGAGCGACGTTAGGAGTCCGGACAGAAAATACACTTCTAATCTGGGTGCCTATCAGAGAGCCTGAAGAGATTCTTTATAGCGCTATATCAATTCTTGATGACGGTTTATTAATGTACTCTTGACAGGAGATCAAATTGGCTACATCCATATCGTACCCCTGTTCCTGTGTGCATATCATTTTAACAGACGGAGAAAATATAAGGGACAAACCAATACTTATTGATTTTTAGAAATATTTTGCGAGCACTAAATAATTTTTCATTGCAAGTTTCAGTTCTCAATAGAGATGGGCTAATACTCCATTATCGGCAAGTACTAAAGATGAATCTCACAACCATATGTGATAGATAATAGAAGATAGCCATGCATAATATGTCTTTGGTCATCCCTTTCCACCATTGATAGCCATCAGTCACCACCTACTACCAAGGAGTTCACATTATCATTTTAGATGGTTCGGGTAAAGAGAAGTATTTGCATGCCTCTCAAATTTCAAAAATGAAATTTCTATTGTAAATTTTATATGGACTTAGATGATTTTGAGTGATCTAATGTTCAACAAGGATGGTAAGGGATGACCCACAGAGGGTTGAAGTTATCGCTCGATCTTCAAATCAAGAATTGCTCTCAAATTCCACTCCTCCTCCTCTAGTTATTGTCGGAGTGAAATTCTTTGTAAATACTGCATGATTTAGAACAATTCTATCGAATGACTCATAATGACTCATTTAATCAGATGATATTTTGCAGACATTTAAGTGCCTTAATGATGTCAAAATTGAGTGTTCTAAGGATCGTCAAATTCCTCTCATCAAGACGCTCAATTTAATTATAAACTTGTCAAATTTGTATTCTATTCGACCCTCTGACTAATCAACCAAAGCATCTAAAAATAGTTCAACAACTTGGTCCGGCATTGATTTGACTCAGATTTAATTAATTTTTATGCCACTGTGTTTGTTTCATTGAACCAGTCAGTTTGACTATTAAGTCTGTTGAGCTAGAAGTTCAAGATTTTTAATTTGAGTTTCACCAAATACCACGAGATTTGTGCTAAATAGGAAAATTTGTTGATGAAGTATCAATTGCTTAAAATAAATCATTAGAATTATTGGATGGATGATCCTTTATATGCAATTCATGCCATTCATTAACAGCATAAAAATTCATTTCAGTAACTGTACCATTACTAAAAATTATTTATTTTCTCAATAATAGCAAATAATTATTTTCAAAATATTGTCAATTGTCTCCACCAATCCTCTACTCTGTCTACCAACTCCATGGGTTTGATCGGTTGTAAACATGGGCAGTGCTTTCATTTTGCAAGAGTTTTTAGAAATATAGACTTAACAGCTAGATAATTTTAAATGTAATGTAAAATTATAATCCATTTAAGATTTATTTCATGGTTCATTTTAGTGTATTTGAAATTTTTTGAGCTCCGGTGAATTTCAATGTAAAATGTTGCCGGTTATCATTGTCTGTCAGTGACCTGTGGTTGGCGTTCATCATGACCACCCATAGATGCGGCCTGCTTGCCCTCCGGTTGCCCGCCGGCCACCATCCACCTTTTACCACTGCCATCTTGCTCCTAACAAAGGAGTAGTTTGCATTGGGGTGTTTGATTAGTAGTCGTCATTTGACATTATATCCTTGATGAGATTAGAGTTTTCATTTTTTTAAAAATAATTTTATGTATTTCTCAGTGTTTCTCTGAGCTTTTCTTCACTTACAAAATTCAGTTCTCTCCAACAACCTCAAAATCAGATCTTACATATTGTTACCATCTCCCAAGCTTCTTAATATATAGGACAAGTAACTCCTTTACCTCTTCAAAATTTTCAAACTTGAGGGAAGCTTTTGCATTGATAATTGATTTCCTTTCCCTTCACTTAGAGCCATATAAATTTGTATCTAGCTCCAACACACACCCAAATCAATCTAAAGTATTCTCAACTAAGCACTACCTTTTGGACACCATAACAATATCACTCTTCTCCTTTACACCACTTTAGCACCACCACTCAGAAAGAACTTCCATATCTTCTACTCATTATTTTATCCCATCAAGAGGGCTAGAATGATGCTCCTATTAGATGACTGCCGATCACTTAATATAGGATAGAATTTTTAAATCCATAACAAGTATATATTGCCCTAAAATTTAATGCTAATATAGATTTAACTATGTATCGATGATAAGATTTAAAACATTCTAAAGAATAATGATAAAAAAAAAGTAGTTATGGTAAAAGTCATGCTAATGTCACAAGCGACATAGAGCTTCATCCTATGTGACTTCCAACCATTTTCATCTCAATATTTGGGAAATGTTTTTGTAGAATATCATTTATCTTGATGCTTGTACTTAAATTCTTTTTGGAAGGCATGTGCACTGGCTTAATTAAAGGCATGAGCCCACAAAGCACTAGGGACAATGTGCTCCATCATTCTACATGATGCACACCTTTTATGTGGTCCTCATATATAGGTTCAAAAGCTTTTTATTTTTGTTTTCAAAGAATTTAACAATTGAATGCTTTTGCCAAATTTTGCAACTTCCACCCCAAATGAGAACCTAACATTTGACAAAGAAATTATGCTTGGTGAGAGAGTAGATTGGTGAAAATATAGTTGACATAGTGGAGTTACAACAACAACAACTACAACAGCAAAGCCTTGATCCCACTACGTGGGGCTTAGGATAAGTTAAATATTTATCAAATTCGAATAATTTTTTGAGTTGGCTCTACTAATGAGAAGTTGATTTTGAGTAGGCTCAAAATTTATTATGTAAAGAAGGCTTAAATAAAAATTAAGTATATAAAATATATAAAAATATTAAAAAGGGCCTTTTTTTCTCATGGAATTGGCAAGTAGCCTGTCACTTGAGTTGTCCATTTAATGGGCCAATTGGCGATGGGTGGGCCGCTTGGTAAGCTAACCCAAACCTTTTCTTAATATTAAAAATTTCGTTAAGTCTACTTAATTATTTTCAATAGATTTGCTTACGCAAATTTTCAGCTTAAATATTTTTTACTTGATAAAACTCATTTTTAATTGTTAAAATTTTAATTTTTTTAGAGAAAAATTGTATTCTTTTGTTTTTTAATAAATATTTTTTCTTATCTATCTTTTTTTTAACTTAGAAAAATTTAAAAAGATTCTCTTGACATCTATATTTTTAAAACTTTTGATATTTGATTTTTTAGAATGAGTTATAATATAGTAAAGAGAACGTTATAATAATTAGTTGATTTCGGGTTTGTTTGTGACAGTTGTAGTTTATTAATAAATTGTTGCGGATAAGCTAGCTGTCTGTTTGTTTTTCGTAGTTTAAAATAGCTGTGTTGCAACTGTTTCAGAATAAATGACCATTCTGACCATGCATTGTAATGTTGTTTACAAAAAAAACTGTTTATACTAGCTCATCCCATATTTGAAAGCAAATATCCAGTTCAAGCATTACAAAATAGAAATAGATATCTCACTTAATAATGAGTAACACGACTATCAAAATTAAAAAAAAAAATTATTAAAATAACAATCAATAATAAAAATGATATTATTATTTTTAAAATATAGTATTTGTAGGTCACAAGATAAGCCCTCCTCCCGAAAAACTCTCCATGCCCGATCACTCTCAACAGTGAAATCCTCCAACCCATCTGCCCACTTAAAGAAGTCATAGTTTTATGTTTTTCTCCTTGGACATTTGTAAAACTATCTTTCATAACTACGTGGCTGCCGTGAAGTAAAAATGGAAAATTATAGTCTACAACAATAGTGCAATCCTCGAGCTCATCTTTTCTAAAGATTTAGAACAACAAAAAACAAATCCTTAGGTGCAATATTAGTGAAAGAAAGTATTATGTTTTATTAAACTTTGAGGTCTCATATAACATAACATAAACTAAAGAATCTGTCACTGCAAAAAAAAATAGTAAAACTTAGTAAACAAAAGATTCTTGGTTGCCTTCAAACCACATAATATCGAGCTCGCATGTGTCACATATGCATAAAAAAAAAAAAAAAAAACCATCTAGAAGAACCTAAAAAACCATAACACTTAAAAAAAGAGAGAAACTTAACTGTTTTCATTAGAATTTCACATGTTAAATCATATAATGTTGTCATACATGTCATCCAGAAGAACTCATTAGGTTAAACGTATCATCATAGATCTCCAATACCACAAAAAGCAAAAAAAGAAAGAAAAATGCAAAAGGAAATAAGACATACAACTTGCATAAAAAAATGACTGTAGTAAAAAATCAAATGCATAATGAACAAAATTATACACAAATTGTATAACATATTCATACAATAAAGAGTGAA